GCTTGTGGGTCGCCTCTCGAACGTTGAGCAGCTTGCCGCGCAGGGGAAAGACGCCGTAACGGTCGCGACCGTCTTTCCCGAGTCCAGAGAGTACGAGGGTTTTAGCCGAGTCTCCTTCGGTAAGGATGAGGGTGCACAGGTGAGAGTGGCCCTTTTTCCGGACCAAGTTAGCTTCCATGTACTTCTCAACTACAACACGACCCTTCTTGCCGCCTTTCTTCTTTAGGTCACTGTCCGCCTTGAACTTGGCCCACTCGCAAATGTTCTCCACTGCACCGATGCCGCCGAGAGCCTTGAGAAACTTTGGACTCACCGAGCACTTGCTGCCAAAGTTCTTCACCTGCAGCGTCATCGTCTCCTTGGTCTGCGAGTCAAAGGTAGGATTCTCGATGAGGCAGTTGACAAAGACCCAAATTTGGTTCTTGACGTGGTGAGGCTTCAAGCTGGCAGCCTGTTTGTTCAACTTCTTCTTAGTCAGGTCAGTGAGCTGGGAGACCACCGTCTCGACAAAGTGGTCCACGTGCTTTCCGCCGCGAGTGGTGGCAATGCTGTTGACAAAGCTGATTTGCTGAAAGCCCTTCTCACTGGTCGCCACGGCCACCTCCCAACGGTCATTGACTACTTCGTGAGCGACTTTGAGAGCTCCACCGTCCTCGCCGCCTCCCTTGTTCAAAAACAGATTCACATAGTCCTTGAAGCAGGTCACGGGAAGCCTGTCGCCATTCAAAAAGACCTTCACACCTTTGCTGGTGGCTGCCACGTCGAAGGCTCGGCGAGAAAAGAGCGCCACTATGTCCTTGTCGAGGGTATCCATTTTAAACTTTGACAGGTCAGGCTTGAAGGTAACTCGCGTGAAATCTTCCCCAGATACACTGGTCACCTTTGCCTCGTGTGCCTTGCTCATGTTGTCAGTCCACACCTGAGAAAAGGCCTTCTTGAACTCCTTGCTGGAAGTCTCGACTTTGAACTTCTCGCTGAAGATGTTGCACAGCTTGGCACCGTAGCCGTTTCGGCCACCGACCACCTTTTTCTCATCGTCGTTGTAGTTACTCGAAGTCAAGAGGTGTCNGTGCTGAAGATGTTGCACAGCTTGGCACCGTAGCCGTTTCGGCCGCCGACTACCTTCTTCTCATCGTCGTTGTAGTTACTCGACGTCAAGAGGTGTCCGAAGATCATCGTTGGAACGAAAATTTTCTCATCTTTGTGCATTGTGACCGGTATTCCCT